TAAAACGATAAATAGTTTGTCAAATTTTTATTCAGAAAAATGCAGTTTCAACTGCTTTTTATTTTATAAAATTTGTTTTCTCGCGCTACCAGAGGGCCTTTTAAACAATAGGTAGTCTGTTAGCGTTGGTCAGTAGTAGTCCAAATTCGATACGAACGTTTGTTTCTTGAAAATTTGATCACGATTTAAATATAGTATTTACTTTTGATATTACCGATATGTCATCGAAAAGAAAACGTATTGTATTATCATTAAAAGACAAATTAAAGTATCTGTTTCGATTATCCGAATTTTTCCTTATCCGGACTACCTTCGTCCCCAATTAGTCCGGATAATCGAGTTTCTACTGTAATTGTATTTATATATTAATACTATGTGAATTAACTTATAAGTGCATTATTTCATTTTGCTTATAAAATCATAATTATCTTAATAAATTTGTTATTTAGAGATCTTTCCTTTTATTGAAAAATTCTCTTTTGAATGTATAAGTATTATAAAAGATTTTTACAAGTAAGTTATTTAGGGCATGTAATATTTTATGGAATTAAGATTTTTTGATACGATAACACTAAGAATAGAAACATACGAGGGTGATTCAAAAAGTAAGGTAACAAGAGCTCTCACGGGTTCCTCTTGTTAGAATTTCTCATTAAGGCAGCAGCGGAAGACCACAGCTTTATCGCACAGGCGTTAGATGATGGAAATGTTGCGTCAGGTTCTTGCATTATCATTTTGAAAATGGCTGCGCTCACGGAAACCTGGTCAAACATAAAAGGGCGTAGTGTGATTCGATCTGAAGGGCAACTTACCGGTAGAAATTCATCGTCAACTTGTTGAGGTGTACAGTGGTAATGTCGTGCCACAAAAATAGGTGTGGGTTTGGTGCAACGAGTTCGATAAAGGTAGGGTAGATGTGCAAACTGAATTCTTACGGTGCTTCAAGTGGGAGGTACTGGAGCATCCTCTTATTAGCCCCAACCTGGCACCCTATGATTTCCATCTCTTCGTGCTATTGAAGAAGAATCTGGGTGGTAGGCGATTCCAAACTGATATAGAAGTTCAGCAAGCCGTCACGGAGTCGCTGAAGAGACTTGACGCAGATTTCTTCTCTGCTGGCATCGATGCCTTTGTATATTGTTGAAATAAATGTTTGGACAAGCATGGTGAGTATGTTGAAAAATAATATGTACTAGTGCTATAATAATCTGTATCATCATATCTGTCTGTGAAATAAAATTTGTACCTTACTTTTTGAATCACCCTCGTAATTTAAATCTACTCTAAAATTAAAATTCGACATAATGGGAAATGAACAAAAACTCGAACTTCTAATTAAACTATTCAAAAACATTTGTTTCAATTCAAAATTTGACCGAATTAAACAAGTGTAAGTAATTAAATTCTACTCTCCATAAGCCACTTTGTGTGCTGTAAGGTGTAAGGTTCATTCCGTAAATATAATGCCACTAATATATTTCAGTATTAAATCATTCATATTGAAAATTTGTAAACAGTTTTGGCTTGCTTCAACTTTCAACTTCTACAAATTCACATATAAAAAATGAGAATCGTTTATTGAGAGAGAAAAAATAAACTATAATTTTAAGGTATTACAATCGATTTGACTGTTTCAAACATATAAAGGAGTTAATCGAAAGAATTAATGACACATTAATAAAGTATATTTAACGATAACCGAATATTCAATGATGCCTCTCTTTGACTAAAATTACTTTGTAAATGAAGTCTAGCCTTGATTGTATGAGTTTGGAGGACAAATGCGCTTATTTCTTCCCAGTGAAAAATTATGGCTTGTTTTAGTTCCTCTATACTATTATATTGATACTCATTTTCATATACAGCTCTAGCCAGAATCCCTCAAAGATATAATATCCGGATAGAGCCGACAATTATTAAGAGACACCCCATTAGCTAAAAACCATTCATACATAGAGTTTATTGTGGAAATGGGGGTATTGTTATGTTGAAAGAACCGTCGATTCCAGCAACACGTTCTGCAAAAGATAAGAGATTGCTTACCAACATATCTTGATAACCATTTGCTTTTGTAAGTCCTTGTAAAAAAATAAAATGGAGTCTTTCCTTACCAACTAAAATCACCTCAAATTATACCTGAACCACTACCTGGTTGTCATTTGGAATATAGTCTTTTTTCCCTTCTTAAATCATGCGAGTAGTGGGTCCAGTAGATATGTTTCCACGTATCGTCCATCTCATTTGTCCTTGCCCATAGTAAAAGTTCCTTCTTGCTTTAGTAATGGGAAAGGTTTTCTTGACTTATATACCAGATGCTGGCGTGTCTGCATAATTTTTTCAATAGTCGAATTGTTTGCTTACATTACATTCGAGCATTACTGCTAACTTCTGAAATAATATCTTGTTGCTGCCAACCTGGTGAACAACGGTTAGTTTTTCCCTGTTTCTAAGATCCGAAGGGCATTCTGTTGATTTTTTTAGATCATATTGATCTCCAAGTTTAATACTGTAATAATAAAAATAAAAAAAATTGGAGATCAATATTAATTAATATTAAATTAATCAATTAATAACGTTGTCGATTACAGTGGACGACCAATTTAATTATTTAGCAATTGTTCTTGCAGAACAATTTTATTTACAGTGGTACCTCAGGATACGAACGCCCCAGCATACGAAATTTTCAGGATACGACATGAAATTCGAACATATTTTTGCTCCACGATACGAACAAAAACTCACCATACGACTTTACATTAGTTTGCATTTTTCATTTGTTTTCCTTACTACAGTTATTTTTTTAATGTATTACTTGGCTTTAATTTAAGTATGTTTTTCGCGTTAAAACGAATTATTTGGTTTTACGTGAAATCTTTTGGGAAAAGTTGATTCACCTTACGACATTTTCATGATACGATCTCAGTTTCGGAACGGATTAATTTCGTATCCTGAGGTACCACTGTATTTCATTACGTAAATTTCACAAATTATTTTTAAATTTATTCATTAATGTTTATTTCATANATACAGTGGTACCTCAGGATACGAACGCCCCAGCATACGAAATTTTCAGGATACGACATGAAATTCGAACATATTTTTGCTCCACGATACGAACAAAAACTCACCATACGACTTTACATTAGTTTGCATTTTTCATTTGTTTTCCTTACTACAGTTATTTTTTTAATGTATTACTTGGCTTTAATTTAAGTATGTTTTTCGCGTTAAAACGAATTATTTGGTTTTACGTGAAATCTTTTGGGAAAAGTTGATTCACCTTACGACATTTTCATGATACGATCTCAGTTTCGGAACGGATTAATTTCGTATCCTGAGGTACCACTGTATTTCATTACGTAAATTTCACAAATTATTTTTAAATTTATTCATTAATGTTTATTTCATATAAGAAATTTCGATCAAGAATGTAATTGATGTTATTGTTTGCATTTCAATGTGTTGCTGTTACTCTGTTAAGCAATTTTTCTTTAAAAATGAAAATTATTTATAACAAGTAACATCACTATATTGCATTTTTAATTAGCCGATCTCATAAAACAAAGGGGTATAAATATGGTGAAAAAAGACTCAAAGGTATTATTTGCGAATACATTCGCTGTGATACGTTCGACTTGGACAATTCCGGTGTTACCTCAGAAGATTATAAAAGGTAAATACCCTCGCGTATAATTCTTGTGTATGCTAGTGAAAAATTCTCCCATTCTATCTTTTACTTTACTGTCCGACATGAATGTTTGCCTACGAATATGAGCAAAGAAAGCTTTGCTCAAATTCGCGAATGTGCGAGTTGTAGCTCGTCTGTTACTTCCGATTGTATCGTCCACCGCGACATTGATGCAGTGGAGATTACGGTGTGTGCCAAACCTGGTTTCTGCTTATCCCGAATTTACTTGCGGTTTTGTCTGTATCCGTTGCACCAATTATTCACTTCCGTTTATTCTAAACAATGTCCATTATAAATGTGTTTCATTCGTTTATAGATATCGGCACTCCTATTACCTTCAGCCACTAAAACCCAGATTAATGCTAAGTTAGTTACGATGGAAGCGATTCTGGACCTTTCCATTGTAATTAACTTAGCATTAATCTGTCAATTACTGAAGATAACATCTATTCACGCCAATACCTAATGCAGCCCGCGCTTCGCCTAAGTTGAGCTTACTCACCTGTAAGGTGGCCATCGATAGCTACTTTGCACGATGAGATATGGCACGTGTCCACTTTTCAATCGGGCAATCCTAATATTAATCTGAAGAATTAACTACAGTTGTGAAGGAAGAAACATGAAAAAGTCTTGTTTCGAATAAAACTATTTCGTGATTCTTAAATTATTCACACTTTATTCTAGCATCGGGTTACGTAAAACATCCATTTTACATTAACTAAAAATAATAGAATTGTTAAAATATCAACATTTATGCTTCTTTTATATGTGATAATTTTAGTACACAGCATGTATTGAATTTTCATTATAATTACATTATTATTACTTCATATATAACGTATCATAAGACTATAAAATCAAAAAATAAGGTATTGCATTAAGAACAATAATATCATTATTGCTCTTAATACTAATATTCAATGCCGTAACTAGGCAGGTGCAACAGGTGCACCCGCACAGGGCCCACTTGAAAGGGGGCCCAAAATGCATGTATTTGTTTTTTTATTTTCCCAAACCTAATTAATTAAGGGGCATAAATGCAAATTCTTGCACACGGCACAGGAATGGCTAGTTACGGCACTGCTAATATTTATGCTTAAATTCTTTTCCTTAGATATACTGTAGCGTCGAACATTTTCTCATTCATATTAAAATTAATACATTCATATTCCCTTCTAAAATTTAAAAATGAATTAGTTTGTTATAGGCCTATAATGCGCTTTAAGTGTAAGCATTTTATTAAATCTCTTAATTTGATTTAATAGCAGATAATATTAAGTATCCGCTAAAGTTACGAACTGGATGTTGTTCATTGTTTTCCATAAGATAACAATGCTTTTTGATGAATCCTGCTTCCTTCAATGTTTCATTTACAAACTCTTGACTTACCGAAAGACCTAAAATTTTATTATATTGTAGATTATAATAGAAAGCGTTCAATATCACTACCATTACTAATCCTCCATTTGGCAAAATGTAATTGTTAAATATTTTAACAGCCGCTTTAAAATCCTCTAATGTGGTGCAAACCGCTTCTAAGCATAAAGAGATAAACAACGCATCAAACTTTCCGACGTCCGAGGAAATGACGTCTTTCTGCAAGATATCGCAAGGAATTACTTCTTTTATTTTTTGTCGCAATCGAAGTTTAATTTCGTTTATTCCTTCTTCGACGTTTCTGTTCAAATAAATAATTCAAGTTAAATAAGTGAATTATAATAAGTATTGGGAATAAACATATAAGTTATTAAATTAAGTATGCCAACGTTATAGTGTAAATTACTTTATCATCACGACAAAAGTATAACATCAACTCAACACTAATATGATTATTATTTAATTGATTTTTTTATATGTGTGCCGTACAAATAATGACAATTTAAAAAAATAATGCTACTGTTTTTATACCCGAATTTGATAAAATGTTGTACATAGAGAAAGGTCGAAACTGTTTTTCTTTTATTCGTTGTCAATGCCGCAAAATCAACAAAGCAGCATTTATATGCGAGTTTTAAGAAAATTAAACGTTGATTTTACCTGCCATTTGGAGCTTCGAGTTAGAGAAGTTTTACTGTACTTAAGAAATTTTATTCGTAATAAATTAAATTGGTAAAACATACCCATATCCCTCAAGTAATGCTTCCATTCGCATCAAAGTATCCCAATCCTTCGACGATTGGTCTTTTAACCATTCTTGAACAGCTTCACGGTTGTACTGGGAATAATCAGACAAAACAATTTCCGAAAAATATTTACTCGGTGCTGCCATTCTGTGAACAGTCGGGCCACATCCTACGTCAAGAATTCTCTTGCCTCGAAAGGCTTCTGTTAGAATGAAAAGGAATATTTACTTTAGTTCTGAAAATGAATCAAGACACCAAATGAATGTTTTTGTATTGTTTCATTAGAATAGGAAACTTTCACTCTAGATTATCTTTAAAATAAAAACATAAAAAATATCCTCAAAGTGCAATAAATAAATTTTAAAAATTAAATAAATAAATTTTAAAAATTTGAATACAAATTTCTTCAAATTTTCATATCTGAATTTTCATAGAAGAATATCATTAACATTTATATTATTTGTTTTGATATTTGTGTGACTTATTCATGCAAAAAGCAAGTTTATTAAAGTTTAGATATTTTTTAATAAGAATAATTGTTATTATCATATTTGAAAAATTCTCGACAAGTAAACAATTAATCAGAGCGTAATCTGTTTAAATCTGTAATCTATTTGTTCTTTACAATAAACTCTTACCTATTATTTTGTATTTATATGTAGTTATCAGTGGCTGTAGTGACATTTGATGATAGGAAAGCCGTGTTTCCATAAAAATTTTAAACAATTACAGGAAATGACAAAAATAAACAGTTTATTGATTTTAATTTTAAAATAAATACATTGACAGGAAACAAAGATATAAAAACTTGTTTTTATTATTTTTTATAAACCAACTCTATTCGGCGATTTTCTTCCGCAAAATTTTTAATTACTTTGTTATAAAAATCGCTTGTCGTAGGTTCCGTCAAAGTATTTAAAAGCTGTTTTTCTATTGAAAACAACGCTAGTGACGACAGTCTTTTCTCCGACTGAGTGTTTCTTGCAAAAGTATGAATTCGCTTCATGGTTGAAAAACTGGTTAAAAATTAATGATATTAAATCATATAATTCAGATCGTCATTAATTATAATTTTTTTTTCTAAGAGTGACTCGCGAATACAAATATTGCAATTCACTACGTAATTTAGAATAAAAATAAACAAAATCATCTTTACTTTTTAAATCTTAAAACAATCCATTTAATCAAATAGCTTCCTACCAGTGCCTAATGGATGGAATCATTGGAAGCATTATACCATATTTTGGTGNAATAAATAATTCAAGTTAAATAAGTGAATTATAATAAGTATTGGGAATAAACATATAAGTTATTAAATTAAGTATGCCAACGTTATAGTGTAAATTACTTTATCATCACGACAAAAGTATAACATCAACTCAACACTAATATGATTATTATTTAATTGATTTTTTTATATGTGTGCCGTACAAATAATGACAATTTAAAAAAATAATGCTACTGTTTTTATACCCGAATTTGATAAAATGTTGTACATAGAGAAAGGTCGAAACTGTTTTTCTTTTATTCGTTGTCAATGCCGCAAAATCAACAAAGCAGCATTTATATGCGAGTTTTAAGAAAATTAAACGTTGATTTTACCTGCCATTTGGAGCTTCGAGTTAGAGAAGTTTTACTGTACTTAAGAAATTTTATTCGTAATAAATTAAATTGGTAAAACATACCCATATCCCTCAAGTAATGCTTCCATTCGCATCAAAGTATCCCAATCCTTCGACGATTGGTCTTTTAACCATTCTTGAACAGCTTCACGGTTGTACTGGGAATAATCAGACAAAACAATTTCCGAAAAATATTTACTCGGTGCTGCCATTCTGTGAACAGTCGGGCCACATCCTACGTCAAGAATTCTCTTGCCTCGAAAGGCTTCTGTTAGAATGAAAAGGAATATTTACTTTAGTTCTGAAAATGAATCAAGACACCAAATGAATGTTTTTGTATTGTTTCATTAGAATAGGAAACTTTCACTCTAGATTATCTTTAAAATAAAAACATAAAAAATATCCTCAAAGTGCAATAAATAAATTTTAAAAATTAAATAAATAAATTTTAAAAATTTGAATACAAATTTCTTCAAATTTTCATATCTGAATTTTCATAGAAGAATATCATTAACATTTATATTATTTGTTTTGATATTTGTGTGACTTATTCATGCAAAAAGCAAGTTTATTAAAGTTTAGATATTTTTTAATAAGAATAATTGTTATTATCATATTTGAAAAATTCTCGACAAGTAAACAATTAATCAGAGCGTAATCTGTTTAAATCTGTAATCTATTTGTTCTTTACAATAAACTCTTACCTATTATTTTGTATTTATATGTAGTTATCAGTGGCTGTAGTGACATTTGATGATAGGAAAGCCGTGTTTCCATAAAAATTTTAAACAATTACAGGAAATGACAAAAATAAACAGTTTATTGATTTTAATTTTAAAATAAATACATTGACAGGAAACAAAGATATAAAAACTTGTTTTTATTATTTTTTATAAACCAACTCTATTCGGCGATTTTCTTCCGCAAAATTTTTAATTACTTTGTTATAAAAATCGCTTGTCGTAGGTTCCGTCAAAGTATTTAAAAGCTGTTTTTCTATTGAAAACAACGCTAGTGACGACAGTCTTTTCTCCGACTGAGTGTTTCTTGCAAAAGTATGAATTCGCTTCATGGTTGAAAAACTGGTTAAAAATTAATGATATTAAATCATATAATTCAGATCGTCATTAATTATAATTTTTTTTTCTAAGAGTGACTCGCGAATACAAATATTGCAATTCACTACGTAATTTAGAATAAAAATAAACAAAATCATCTTTACTTTTTAAATCTTAAAACAATCCATTTAATCAAATAGCTTCCTACCAGTGCCTAATGGATGGAATCATTGGAAGCATTATACCATATTTTGGTGTGTAGGTCGGTGCTCTGTTAAGCCCACGCTCGAAAGCGTACAATTTGACAGCCTTACACCATGCAAATATTTTCGCTGTCCTGTATTCGACGATACAGAGCTTCCGTTGGGAATACGCATATACGAATGTATATTCGAATATATAATAGCAATCTTATCATTGTTTTTTACATGTACAGAAATTTTTAATAAAATACATAATGCGGTTGTAATAATATATTAATTTTAAGTAACTCAAAATACGTTAAAATATGAAAATAATCGCGCAATAATTATTTATATTTTAAAAAATACGAGGGAAGAGTCGCTTCCACAGCTTCCACGGACGGTACACCGCTATTAGTTATTACAGAATTACAAAATACAGTTATTCTACAAGAAAAATTTAATAATATTTTCTATATGATAAATAGTAGGCTGATAAGCGAGCCTATCTAATGTGTAATTAAAATATAATTTATTTTCTATACAAAATGATCAATTAATCAAAAATAGATGTTATCACTTAGATGTTACCTTTGCGGTTACATTATGTCAATTTATAATTCAATAATAGAAATTTTAGATTTCGTGAGTTTTTCTTTGTTTAAAATATTTAAGTGATTTCATTAGAAATTAACTAAATATTTCTTAATACAAATTGCTATTTAAATTAAAACTTACCATAGCGAAATATTTGATGCAGCAAAATGAAACAAATTCTTCTATTTCTATCATATTATTGAGAACATTTCGATAATTGATGGTGAAATTTCGATCTACGTAGAATTTGGAGAAAGCATATCTGTCTTCAGAGTCAATTTTCATTACTGCTGTTTATAATATGCACAAGAGAGTCTAAATTAAAGAGTAACTCTGCATTAAATGAACATCATTATAAGGAATGGCAAGTAAATTAACAATATAGACCTATATATATATATAATAACAAACACGATAACTATACGATAAGATATTAAATTGATTTATGCAATTATGATAGTATCTACTTTAATGGTTTAAGTCGATTGTGTAGCGAAGGAATCTCTCTTTTCGTAACTTCAAATTAAATTGAAATATGATTCGAATCTACGAATTTTAACTAAGGATGCACCGATAAGCAAAATGGCCGATTACCGATTACCGATTAATCAGCCATGCATTATCGGCCGATACCGATTAATCGCCCGATTAGTGTTAATAATTTATTGCATTAATAGTGTGAGATCCCGGAGTTATTTATACAGTTAATTATAATGTCGAAAAAACCCATTTTTCTCCACCTGGTATTTCCATCTCCCTGGGGTCAGGTAAACAAGAGACGATCGAATATCCTCGCAAAATCAACAAACTCTTCCTTTGTTTCTGAAATAAATCTCAACACTTAATTGTTGATGCATGGAAACTTCGACATTGTTTAAAAAGCTGTAGTGTTTCTGTGTTTAACAGAAACAAAATATATTTCTTTAACCGCTGATATTTGGACAGCAACTACAAACAATTCTCCTGTTTTAAGTGTAACAGCCCACTGGTTGAAGGATGATTTTCAGCAGAAAAATATTTTGAAAATTGTTTCCTTTAAAGGTTCCCACACGGCTACACGAATCAGTGAACAGTTAAAAATTGTTCTTGAACAGTATAAGTTGACAAGTGATAAGATATTCTTAGTACTAAGAGATTTTGCAGCAAATCTGGTAGCTGGAATTAGGAATTCAACTTAAAAACATTATCGTGCTTTATACATACGCTGCAGCTGACATTAAACGAATGCATATTTTCTGAACAAGATGTGAAAACTATAATAACAGTTAATAGACATATTGTCACACATTTCAATCATTCTGCTGTAGCTGTAATCAAATTGGAAAATTTGCAAGAAAAGTTAGGTTTGCAGAAACACAAATTAATTGAAGATGTTCCTACTCGCTGGAGTTTTACATACTACATGTTGGAACAGCAAAAGGCCCTTGTCACAGATAATAAAATTCCTACGTTGAGCCCATATCAGTGGTCTCTCGTTGAAAAAAATTGTTCTACTTGTAAAACCATTCAAAGAAATTACTGTGGAAAGCCAGCAAACGAGAAGCCACTTCATCTTCAATAATTCCCACAATAGAGACTCTGAAATTATTCTTATCAAAAGCAAAGATCAGAAGTTCCTTTAGTGGCATTAATACCACAATAGAAGAACTAGAAAATTCAATAAAAATAAATTTTCAGCATATATAGAAAACAAGTCTTTATGTTTATCGTTTTTATTAGATTCAAAATGAAATTTCAAAAAGAGGATATGGTAGAAGAAATAAAAATATGGGCAATTGATAGCTTAGAAGATGTTGATAATTCAAAATCTCAATAAGAATTAAATTCTGAAGATTCTACTTCTGGAGGTGATCAAGATGGTGGTGAATTTCTAAGTTTTTCTGATTTATTTGATGAATTAGCTTCTGGTAAACAAAAGAATGAAGAATAGCATGTTTTTAAAAAAAAAAAAAAAAAAACGAAAGAGACGAACAAACGTTTCGATCAAGAATTAGAAACATATTTATATTTACCCTTTAAACAAAGACATAGTGACCTATTTTTGTGGTGGAAAAGTTCAAAAGAACTTTTTCCTAATTTGAGCAAAATAGCTATGAAATATTTAAGTGCCCCAGCATCTTCCATTGAAAGTGAAACAATTTTCAGCACTGGAGGTAACATTTATGAGCCGGCAAAAAATAGGTTATGCCCTGAAAATGGTGAAATTCTCATGCTTTTGCATTACAATTTAATGGTCTTACAGTTTGAATATTAAATTTTTATTTGTTTTATATGTTTAAAGTTTAAACTTTATATTATACGTTATATTACAGTCGACCCCCCCTATAACACGGTAGATACGTTCCTCTTTTTATGAATCCAACTTATAGGAGTCCAGCCAATCACAGCCCGGCACGTATGCAGTTTACGGACTACGGCTGTTTGAAAGGTTTCTTCCATAAAATTAATCTATTCTAGACTAATTCGACTCAACATTTCCAAAATACGTATAATTTTTTGGGAATAATCCATATAAACTATGTTATAAACAAAAAATTGTAGGTTTACTTATCGAGTGTGCACCGTTCGACGACGCCGTTGCTTAAGCTTGTTTTCGACGTGGAGATTGTCATCGAATGCGCTCGCGTGCTTCCTGATAAATAATTTTTTTGTCGAAAATTCGATAAACTTTAGAGACATCATTAATATATATATAATTTTTATGGACGTTAAATAATAAATGGTTTTTGATAGGTCCGCTTCTTAAACTCAACGGTTTGTACAATCCTGTCGCGACACGAGTCGGCGATGACGTATTACCGAATTATAGGAGTTTTTTAAGCATGTTTGTACGAATAATGTCGCAATTTTTTCGCCGTGATATAGGAATCCGAACTATAGGAACTTGTGTTATAGAGGGGTCGACTGTATACTTATAATATGTATCGATAAAAGGAAAAATTTGAATTGTAAAATTTTTTTAATATTCAGTTTGTCATGTAATAATGTAATGTATAACAGAAATTTATTAGTTTTTATTACTAGCATTGTACATAACATTCTAACAAAAATACCAAAATGTAAAATTGGCCGATTATCGAAACCGATTAATCGGGGGAATGGCCGATACCGATTAATCGGCTAAGTGGCCGATACGGCGGATCACCGATTACTTATCGATTCATCGGTGCATCCTTAATTTTAACATATAGAAAATTAATTTATTTTAAAAATTTATTTGAAAATGTAAGAAATTTTAACATAATCTGGTGCCAAAACAAAATACAATAAATAAAAGTATAAATTTCAAAAAGATGACAACAACTACAATAAATTTAGGGAAAAATGTGGTATATAAATTTAGTGGCAGTTCTATAAATCCAAATGTATATCGTTTATTTTTAAAAAGTGTTTCAAAAATTGATAAAAATCGAATTAAAAAAAAGAGATTTGCAATGGAATGGATATAAAAAAAGAATCGTTTGTCGCTCTTTGGTAGACTGTATCAAATAATGTACACACTTGCGGTTTGCTAAACGTTTAATGCGGATTGCGGACCGTTACACAAAAACAAGAAAACAAAATGGCCGTTACAGCGATACTCTCGAATGGAGTCTTTTAAATTTTTTTGTTACAAAATGCGGTGGCGCTCGAGGCGCCAACGGGCTTGCGTTGAAGTAATACTTCGATAAACAATTGTAAACAAGTTAAACAAATTTAAATTTAAAAATTACAACACAGATGGCGCGTGTAGGTTACCAATACGAAGCACAGTTTTTCTAGATGGACAATTTGATTATGCTTCTCTTTAAAACACCTCCAGGGGTTTTTACCAGAACCACTCTCAAACAATCTTTCTAGTGTACTCTTCGACGTATACGTATTTACTAGTGATGTAACGAATATTCGGTTTCTATTCGGTATTCGGCCGAATACAGAATACCTAAAAACAGGAGTAAGAAATAACAAAAACACAGTAAATTAATCATTTTGATATTTAGATTTAATGTTATGGGGTTGATGTTGTTTGTTTATATTTATTTATAACTTATAACATGCACAAAATAAAAAAAATAATATTAGTCACTTGTATTCACAATTTATAATTACAAAGATCAGCACACTACACACCTATTCGTTCGAGAATCGTCGCACATCTGAGGGTCTGACCCTGCCTATCCTTCTTTTTAAGCGCTCGTCCTTGCTCTTCTCTTTCTTTTTCCTCTATCGCTCTAGTCCACGTATGCCTAGGCGTACATCATAATACGCCCTCACGATACTTTCGATTCGTCACTTTTCCGTCGTAAAGTTCCCATTTTCCAATTACGTGACTCGTAGCCTGGTGATAACGGAGAAAAGAGACAGATAGGACGTCGATATAAGTCACAGTTATGATTTCACAGATCCGAGACGGCTCGGTAGCCCGAACGACCCCAGGCTTTCGGCCGTGACTTTCATTACAAGCATTTAGCTTTGCGAAGTCTATGACAACAATTGTTTGACATCGACGGCCGCGAATTTCGCGCCAATAAGCTGCCTCGACTCATTCGATTATGTTATCGACTCAATTTCATATTTATTTTCACATTTTCACTTCGCGGTCCTTCTCTCTTCTTTTTCCGTTATTTACACGTGTCAGGGCGGCACTTTTTAGGGGGCGGCAAAATTTCACAATAAATAATAATAATATCTTGTAAAATTTTGAAACATCCTAATCTATACTTGCATCACGCCTACGATAGTGCTATCGTCCGGACTAGAGATTGTAAATTTACCGACTTTTTCATTTACCGGTAATTTGGTAAATAAAAATTAAAATACCGGTTTACCAGTAAATTACCGGTAATTTTTTTCCTGAAAAATAAAATTAAGGTGATAAAAATTATAAGTAATTTTGATTTCCGTTTCACATTTTTTATTTCAAAGATATAGAATATAAAAAATATATAAATTAAAGTGTTATTCTAAACAAACTGTAATAATAACTTTTAGATACAGAAATAAAATAATACAGAAAAATAAAAATAAAACAGAAATAATATATAGTACCTAATACCATTTTATCGATTACCATTTTTTAAAAAATTACTTCTCAAGAAATTTAAATTATTTAAAGTCTTTTCTTCTAATTTTGTCTAGACTTTTTCGGACAGCATCTTTAAGTAATAAAAATTTTTCCAGCATGTTTAGTAAGCTATTCCACCTGGTTCTACAATCTAAAATTAAAGAAAGTTCTTTTCGTGAGAGTAATGGGGATTCCCCACAAAAATAGGGTTAGAATAATACATATTTTGCACAATCTTAAGGCATAATGTTAGAATCTTGTAATAAATATT